AAGAGTTTTCCAAAGGGAATGACATAAACCTTATCTTTGCCAGGAGACAGTACAAGCAACAGCTGGCGTGCCTGACCCGCTGTGAAGCACCTGCAGTTGAATTCACATACGGGGACATCATATGTGTTGCTCTTGGGGTAACCCTTACAGACACCCCAGAACCACACTAGCTGTGAAGAACCTGGCGCCTTTGGGCCTATTGGCCACTCCATCTCGGAGAGTCTATTTGGAGCAAGTTAGCATCCTAAACGCAGAGCACACAGGGTGGTGCGCTGTGCTTACAAGTGGGTCAATTCCAGTTGTGGGGTGTGAAAGTGGAACTAAGCTGCCCAACACCCACACACACCCCCACCCCCAGTTTTGTGCCCTGGTGGGAAGCCAAGCTGAGACAAAAACTAGTTTTAAAGCATCGAATACCTCGGATTCAAACAGGCGGTCTGTTGCATAGACTGACATCCCTGGTCCCCTTGGCGGCTGTTTTTGTGTGTCATTTCTGGGCGCTGTGGTTTGTCAAGACTGCCCTCAACACCACACCGGCAGTGCTGGGAGTAAGTCCAGCGCTGAAATGGGCTGCTTTGACCGGCCGAACACTGGTCCACTCAGAAAAAGGGGGCACCTACTCTTTCAGCAAGAGGCTGTGGAGAGTCTGTTTGGAACAGAAATTGCTTGCAAGAAAAATGTCGAGTTGCATGTTTACAAACCCAAAGGAAACGCAGTCCATTTCGGAATGGCAATGCTAGCTGTGGAACTGACTCTCACAGTTCTGCTCAGGAGTTGGGGGGCAGCGCCCAGCTGGGTTTGGACCCATACTCAATGCTGAAAAGAGAATTATCCTCCCTAAAGCCACCAAGCTCCTCACCCGCGGAATGGGGCCCAATCTTGGCAGATCCGACCCTCCAGGGGAGCAGCTGATGGAGGCCTCTCCAGACGTCCTATTTGTTAGCCCTGCGCCCCAAGCCCGGCCCTTCAAAGAGCCCTGGAGCCGCGGGGGGCCTGTGGGAAAGTGAAAGCCAGGCGGGGAGTCTAGGGGGGTTGAGGACAGGCTTCCAGTGGCAGGTCCTCAACCCACTGGGTGAGCTACGTAGGATCCAGGTCCATGCGGCAGTTAGGGGCGCGGCTGCGAGTGTGCCCACCGCTTCTCCCTGCCCCCTGGCGGCGACTCCCCGCACGGGGAACCAAGGGGCTCAGACCCGTGGGAGGAAGCAGGGGGGAGCGATCCCTGCGCCTCTGCGCCCCTGGGGACGGAAGGAGGCCCACACGGCCATACCAATCGCTCCGTGGTCCTCCGCCCGTGGGCCTCCGGGGTCTCTGGCTTCATAGGTGCGGGGTGTAGAAGGGGGTCAGGTAGGATGGCCCAAGGAAGGGCGCGAAGGGGCCCCCGGCGCCCGAGAGTGGGAGGGAGGCGGAAGCGGGGAAGAGGACATTGTTCGCAGTGTAGGACGGAAATGTCTGGAAGGGCAGCGCTGGGCCGGGCGGGCCCGGGGGACCGGGGCTGCCCCTCGCCGGTGCCCCCGGCAGGGCCGCGCCGTCGGCGCCCGGGTTCTGCTTCTTCCACTTGGTCCTACGGTTTTGGAACCAGATCTTGACCTGCGTCTCGGTGAGGCTGAGCGACAGCGCCAGGTTCAGGCGCTCGCACACCGACAGGTAGCGCGTGGCCCGGAACTTGTTCTCCAAAGCCACCAGCTGCTCGTAGGTGAAGGCGGTGCGCGCGCGCCGCGGCTTGGCTAGGCTTGGCTCCGGGCGCCGGCGCCGGGGCCGCGGGGAGCCGGGCGATCCCGGGGAGCCCGCAGCGCCCCCGCCGCCCGCAGTCCCCAGCTCGGGCCGCTGGCGCCGCCCCGCGTCCTCCGCGTCCTCCTCGTCCGCCTCCTCGGCCTCCGAGTCGTCCAGCGGAGACGCCGTGCCCGCGCCTCGGTCCGCATCATCTACGGGAGAAGGGGACCAAGAGCAGAAGTCCGAAAGCCCTTTCTGTCCCCTGCGGCACATCCTCGGCAGCGCCTCCCAGGATTGAGTTTGGGGGTGCCCCCTACACATCTGCCATCTGATAGATGTCCCCAACTTGAAAGCTATGGCCCTCTATCAAAAATGAACAGTGAGTTTATTGGGCAACCTTGTTGGGGAGGGAGCAGGGTTATTGTACAAGAATACGTCCAGGGGGTTTGGAGGGGGTGTCTCCCCAATCCCCAGAAACCTATTTCGGTCTAGGACTCCTAGCAATTAAAAAAGGAGTTATTAAATCCCCCTTACCCCCGCCCACTCCCCACTCCTTAAAGTTAAATTGCCCTTTCCCATCTTCTCTCTCCTGCCGTGTTAATAGAGTTTCAGATTTGTGCTGGGCCGGATCGATAGATGTCATCTATTAAAGGTAAGTTTTAATCGAACAATATTAGGATCAGACAGGGGAAGGGGGTTTGAAGTCGGTACCTGCAAGCTGCGGGGCAGGAGATATGCAGGCGCCAGTAATAGAATATCGATCACCGAGGGTGGGGAGGGGACGTGCGCGGCCCCTCCAAGGGGCGAGCGGAACAATTACCAGGCCGGTAGCCCAGGCCCAAGTGGGGTCTCCAGAGGCATCCCGAGTCCCAGACAATCACCGCCAAACTTGGGGAGGGGGCGAACCAGGACCCTCGGCGTCCCTTGAGGAACCAGGAGTCCACTCCTCTAACTAGCAAGGGTCCTGCGGTCAGCAATCCTGCTTTCCATCTACAAACTTGTAGCCCTCACCCGGCACCCGCCAGAGTCGGGCATAGTCCGCAAGAGTTTGCGGAACAGACTTGCCCTCCTATCTCCCCACCCTCCGACCCCCAGCCCCAATGCACGGTGAGCAAGCCATTGTCTCCAGGTGGCTGCTGGTCTGACCTGGCTGCCCACCAAGTCTCAGCACAAGCCTGAGCGAGCCTCAGTGCTCACCTCCCTGGAAGGCCAGTCGTTTTAGACGTGCTGCCTCCCTCGCAGGTTCGGAAGTGTTTCATTATTTTTATCCGAGCGCAGTCACCCTCTAGCACTTGGAGGGGGTGACTGGCCCGCTGGGCGGGTAGCCTGGACTGGGGCGCGGAGGCATTCTCTGCCGTGAGGATATGAGTTCCGATTTTTGGCCTCCCTCTGCTCGGAGGCCGGGGTTGTGTTTCGCGCCTCGCTCTTGCCTCCTTCTCCCTTTGGGCTAGCGGCGGTCCCTCCCCCAAGCCGGGCGCATCCTGGGGGCCAGGGTCGCCCAGGGTCTGGGCCCCTTTCATCCTTACCAGGGCTCTCCCTGCGCCGAGCCGGGTCCCCGGGGCTGGTGTCCTTCTCCGCTTCGGCCTCCGCCAAACTTTTCTTGGCTTCGTGGGGCGCAGGGCGCACGGCTGGGAGCGCAGCACGAGTGAATTTCTGCGGATCCAGGATGTCCAGGACCGAGAAGGAGATCTTGTGGGGTGAGGGAGCCGCCTTGGAAACGCCATCCTGCCATGCTAGCATGCCCGCCGCCCTCGGGGTCCAGGATGGCTGCTCTCCGGCTCGCCGTCCAGCTGGGGCTCCGCCGCAGCTCTCCGGCCGGGAGGAGGGTTGGGCCGCCAAGTGCAGCTGGGGGGTGGGGGCAGAGGGGCGTGGAGAGCCACGGGGGGCTGCACGCCGATTGGCACTTAAGCGACAGAGGCCCCCCGCCACGTGCAGGGCGCGCTTGCAGTCGCCCCAAGACTGCTGGGCACCAGGCGGGGACCGGTAACCTAGCGGAGGGGGCGCTCCATGCGCCCTGTGCGCGCGCCCGCCGGGACAGCGCTGCTGGCTCCGCGCGCCTCCGCCCAAGCCGAAGGGACTCCCGGCGTGCGCAAGGGAAGGAGGGAGAGAAAGTGGCGACCGCCTGCCACACACACAAACCCCGGGTTGGGTGCGCGCTCATCTCAGGCGCGGCCACCTTTGGTTTGGGGAGCCGCAGAGGCCAGGACTGCTTCTTCGTCCCAGGCCAAGCTTAGCGGTTCGCCTGTCCCTCTCTAGAGCCGCAGCGCCCAGCGAGGGCCTCGGCCCAGTCCCCTTGCGTGAAAAGCCCCCTGTTCCCACTGTCCATCCTTTTACGAAGGACACTCTGTGGTTTGCATGAGCTCTTAGACTCTGCATCGCTGAGTAGCGGGCGTGGCCTGAGGAAATTGAGGTTCCGAGGATTGGGGTTTGTCCGTGGTCCTTGGTGACAGTCAGGATTTGAACTCCGGTCACTTCCTCCCAGACCAGTGTCCGTTACACGACACCGTACTTCCTCTGGAATGGAGAAAGAATACCAAGCCTGTATCGTGTCCAGAGTCTCTTCCTTCCACCGCGAGCCCCGCTGGGTCAGCGGAGCCACAGAAGGTGGTGAACCGGTAACTGAGGCGCTGCCAGCGGGGCCCCGGGGCTTTGAGAACTTGGTTGGGGCTACGGGCTCCAGGCTGACATGAGAGGGGTGAGGTGGCCACTCGGGCTTGCTGTGCACCCACGCTGTGCACAACCTTATGCCTCATTTCAGGCCCTCCCCGCTGGCTCTAACGTTTATTTGCAACTGGGCCTGTGGGATTCAGGAGACAACTTGAGCCCCCACGCCACCTCACCCCCAGGCCCCAAAGGGAAAATGGTGAAGAGATGCCAGTCTGCTCTGTACTGAAGGTCAGAATCTGCCTCATCAGGCTCTGTGGAAGGGCAAGCACTGGTGGCCGCTGCCACTGCTAGCAGCCACCACACAGTCCCCGTCCTTCCTCTCCCGGTGTGCCTTCCTGGATCGCCAGCGGCAATTTCTGAGACTTCTCCTTCCGCCCCAAACCGTCTCTAACTCCGCCTCTCCTTTCTTCCCTGCCCCACGGGGCTGCCCCTCAATGGCTGGGCCATTAGTATTGTCTGAGCAGGTAAAGGATAGGAAGAGGCGGAGAAACCTTCCCGGCAAGTGCGGGGCGCTGCCGATCCCCGCTGTGCAGGGAGAGGTGGCCTGGGACGCCTTTCTCATTCAAACCGGGCCACCGCTTTCAGGGCCGACTTGAAAGAGCCTCTGCGAGGCTAGACTACAGGGACCATGGAGTCTGCTTAATAGAGCTCAGGGCAGGGAGTGTCCTGCCCAAGCCACGGACCGCCTCTCATCCAAGGGCCTGCCGGAAGGAGGGGCTGCCTGGAATGGCCGCGGCCGAGCGGAGATTCCTTTGTGAACCGGAAGCCACTGGGCTTTGCTCCCTCCGCTCTGCCTACCCGGCCTCACCCACCGGCTTTCTGCTTTATTCTGAAATTTTCCTTTTTTTTTTTCTCCCATGGCTCCATTTTCTTTTTCATACTAGGACAGTTAGAAAGAAATGTGCCTCCTTAAGGCCGGCCCGCTTAGAATCTGTGCCCCGGCCCCCACTTTTTTTTTTCTGCCAGAAACCTTCTAGGGGGTTGTGGGCCGAGGACCCCAGACCCAAACAAGACAGCCAAATAGCTAGGAGGTCAGGCCTAGGGCATTTTCATTTTGCTTCATCCATTGCCTCCGAAATGTTGCTTTACAGGATCTGGTCTCTCCTTTGGGATTCACAGGTGCTCTCAAAGGAATGGAGTGAGGCCCACTCACTGTGACTGCCCCTGTGGGTTTCCTGGACTGTCAATCTTCATGGGAGTGGGAAGTCTCATCTTTCCCCTATAGAGTGGCTAGTGGTTTCAAACTGCTGACCTTGAGGTTAGTAGCCCATAGGTGTCAGACGTAGGAAGAAACCTTTGGTGTCCAGTCGATTCCAACTTGTGGCCACATTTCGACCAGGGGAGTTAGGAACTGCTCCAACAGGGTTTCCTTGGCTGTGACCTTCACAGAAGCAGACCCCCAGCCCTTTCTTCCGCAGGGCTGCTGAGTGGTCCAGACTGCCACCTTTATGGTTCATAGGCGTGGGCAGACTGTACCACCCGGGAGCACACGGAACTAGGGAAAGGAGAGCAGAGGTAAAATGCAGTTAGTAAGTACACCTTAAAGCAGTGAATCTGTAAGGACTTATTTATCAAAGGCCTTTAAAAAAAAGGAATCGCTTAAAAACATGTTTTCTTTTCTTTCACATTCTTTGTCCTTTATTTCAGGGGCAGGGGTGGGCGGGGGAGCATGTGAGGGACAGGAAGCTCACACTCAATACTTAGGCCCTGCAGTTAGATGACACACGGAGGTTCCCCTGCCCCCAGCCCCACCAACTTTGGGGAGAAAAGATGCCCTCTTATACTTGCCTGGCTTAAAGAGGAATACGTCCCATCCCAGCCAGAGGGACAAACTAAATCCTTAAACTCAGGGGTGCAGGGAGGAGACCCCTGGACGATTGTGTTCCTGGTCACCTGCTTTGAAAAAGACCAGGGAGCTTTCCTTTCAGTACCACTTGGCCAGGCTTTTGACACCCACCCACCTCCCGCCAGCCCAGGGCTTCCCGCCATAATAAATACATACACCAGCCCTCTGCGTGTGCGGAGTTGATTTGTTTTCTCAGCGTGCGCGTTAACATTCCGCCTGAGTGCTGTCTTTAAATTGCTTTGATGCTAGGTGGGCTCCAACCCTGACCTGTCCTGATGGCAAGTGATGGCTGTAACAAGCTGGGGATCAATATTCACAGCGGGTGTCCTGAGCTGATAACACTATCCGAGACAATGTTCACGATCGGTGTGGACAGCTGAGATATTGCGCCATTAGGGATGTTGTGTTAAATAACCTGATCCATTTCTGGGGCTATTTAATGAATTTCACAGTTTAGATAGTATCTTTGAGGAGAAGGCAAAGGCTATTCTGGAGGCACTGATGCAAATCAATGGTGCCCAGCTTCTGCAGCATTTCATCAAAAAGTGGCCTGCAATTCCAGCACAGCCGGGAGGAGCCTAGGCCAAGCTGGGCACGGAGAACATTGGGAATCAGGCTCTGCAGGGGGGAGGGCCTTGTGATGAGCAGCAGTCAGCACCTTAGGTAAAATAGGATGCTGCCGCAGCCAGACATTCCTTCAACTCTCTTAGTAAAACCCTCGGGATTGGGCCAGCCTCTGCCAGGGTAAGGCTTACTGCCATTGAGTTTCTGGAATGGTAAATCCTTACCTGAGGAGAAAGTCTCATATTTCTCCCCCAGAGCAGCTGGTTGTTTCGAACTGCTGACCTTGTGGTTAGCAGCCCAGCTCTTAACCACTATGCCACCAGAGCTCCAAGACAAGGTAGGGCTTAAATGCTAAAAAGATCTCTTCCTAGAGCACAGCTTGGTGACAAAGGGGGAGAAGTTGCCAGTGGTGGCAGTCAGGTCTTTAGCCATAAGATCTACTTCTTCAATGCTAATCAGGTTTTTAAGGAATGGGGCATGGGGGGACAGAAGTAAGCTGATGGAAGAAGCAGTTGTTTGTTTACTTGACTCTCGGTCCCTGGCTGCTTAACATGAAAGGCTCCATTACACCCTGCTGTCGGGTCCATAGAGGCCCTGGTGACAGAGTGGTTAGCACAGAGCCGGGCCACCCACCACAGGTCAGCCGTTGGAAACCACCAGCCACTCTGCAGGAGATGAGGCCTTCTTCCTCCACGAGGACTTAGTCTCAGAAACTCATAGACGCAGCTCTCCCCTGTCCTACTATAGGGTCCCTATGGGGTCAAGCATTGTTAGGGTAGCCGTGTATCAGTCTGCTCTGCCAGGGTCACTGTGGGCCAGAGCTGACTCTACGGCGCCTAACGGCAATAACAGCGCACATGAGTCCGAACTGACTTGACGGCGGTGCGTTTGGTTTGGGCCGCGTCACTGTTGACGCTGAGCCACCCTACAGGATGGGTAGAACTGGCCTGGGGTTCGTAAGGCTTCCCGGCCTTCTCAAAGCACTCTGCTTCATCTTTCTCCCTCAGTGCCACTGGGAGATTCAAATCATCCTCCTCTCAGCAGCCAAGAGGGTGCCCAACTTGCCACCCTGGCTCATATTTAAGGCCAGCATGTCCCATTTCCCAACAGCTTCCCTTTTGGAAGCCCACCTCAGACACACTGATTGGTTGAATCTCTTTTCAAAGTGGACTGCTCCCCAGTGCCAGTGTCCAAACTGTAACTGCAGTACACCTGCTAGCGTTCCAAAGGAACCCACTGCCATCGAGTCGATTCCAGCTCATGGCCACCCTACAGGAAAAGGGTAGAACTGTCCCTGTGGGTTTCGGAGATTGTAACTGTACAGGGGTAGAAAGTCCCATCTTGCTCCTGCAGAGAGGCTGGTGGTTTTGAACTACTGACCTTGTGGGTAACCGCCCAATGTGTAACTCACAATGCCTCCAGGGCTCCTGGTTTGTTTTAAGAAGTCAGCATTTCTTCTTGGAACTCATTAGGTTAAAACTCTTTATCTTAGAGACACAGAGGCCGAATCAAGAAGCTGAAGCGTAAGGCTGACATCGGTAAGCAGTCTGTGTGTGACCCCTGGTCCTAAAACTAGTCTGAACAGCGAGAGGTGCTCTTGCTCTGGAAGAGCCATTGGGCTGAGCTTTTCACCCATATTATCTCATTTGTGGGAGAAAGACAG